TTCCATTAAACTGGCGACGGGCAGCACTGTGTGCAGCGACTACCTATCGTCAGATTGCCGATGAAGGCAAATTTTCTCTACAACGGGAGAGCCCTATGTTTAGCAGGACCTTTATAGGTTGATAATGAAGAAGAAGGTTTTACAGGAACAACTTTGCGTGAGAAGGATAGTTTCGCATGCCGCACAACAAAGTATCGTGACATGATTACTTAATTTGAAGCAGGTTTGTCCCGTGTGTTTACGATATTATTACATGAATCCAAACCGGAAACATCGTGCATTTGAAATCAAAATTGAACTAAGAGCATACTTTAACTATAAATTCGTAGTCTGAGTAAATTTAAGTATTATGTTAGTAGTTTGAATCATTATGCATGTCATTTTGTAACATGTTAAGAAGCATTGCAAGCATTTTATTAAGCTATATATTTTTGAAACGTTTGCTGAATCTTGCATGGATTAGCGATTAAGTGCTTGTAGACACGCTTTTAATTTCTACGTGAGCAGCTCTTGCAATTGCAATTTAATCGCTGATCTACCACTACTACTAGGCGATAGGACTCCATTTTGTCTTGAATTCCGCCTGGGTGGGTGATTGTGAGAACATAATCTCAGTACCAATCTGATCTGGTGGGTATAGATGGCCAGTATGATTACTAACAGTTCAGTATTATAAAAAACTTAGCTTGGCGGTGAACAAAAAAGAAAACGTAAACTATGAAGTTGTGAAATCTATACATATAATAAATCTGTTGAAATAAATTGTGTGTTCACGATTCACAGAAAAACTACTGGACAGATTTTCATTTTGTAAGTAGACAGTAAATAACCATGTATAACACATAGGCAACTTTTATCCGCTTACGGAAGATTAAAAAAAGGGTTGTATTTCCTTTTGGTTATAGTTTATTGTCATTATGGCTGCTGATGGTTCTATTAGTCCTAAAGAGGATTTAGCTATACGTAGGTATAATAGATCTATAGAAAAGTGTATTTGAAAATAAACTCATCGCGCCACCAACTAGAAAGGGCAGAATATTGTCTGCCTGGCTAGCTAGTATATAATATAATATACTAAAAGTAAATTTGCGACATCATTAGGGAAGCGTTGCGGACTCTTATCTTCTTTAAATTTAAGTAGAGCTGTTGGCGGTGGAGTAATCTCTTATCTGTTTTTCTTCTTACAAAACCTCTTTTTTTATTTCTCTTTTTAGTAATCTTTTTCATGGTCTATCTTTTTCCCTCTTTCCCACGATAATGTCATTAATTAGCGTCAACTTCCCGTTTTAGAGAGTCATTACGAATCGTCTCGCAAGCAGACTCGACGACTTCCGGCCTTCCGAACGCTGAAGGATTAGTGCTTTTTATTTAAATATAACTAATATGTTTTTAGTTATTTAATTAATCCATTTATACCGTTTTTAAAAGTCACAGAGACAAATTCTCCTGTTTATTAACCAACTCTAAACAAAGTCTGCGTTTAATCCTTATGGTATTATACATTAGAAATATGCTGGTGTCGGTAGCGGCGACATATTTTTGTGGCTACAACCATTTGTTTTCTTAAAAATTTCTTGACGGGACATCGTGTCGGACCTAAAACAGTCCTTATTGTCAAACCCATGTATTACAATCACTTCAATATAAATAAAGTTATTCTTATTCTTATTCTTATTACCCAATTTCATATACATAAATAATATATAGTCTTGTCTTTGATTCTGCATCTTAATCTTGTTTTGAACTTATCTTATGATCGTTACGATAACACTGAAATCGATTCCCCTTTCGATTTTATAATATACGAGTAAGTATTAAGTCATAAGCTGGAATATTTACGACGGTTGAAGCGTTCGATCGCTGAGAGAGAGAGAGAGAAATTTTCGCATTGTTACACTGCTATTGATTTATGATAGACTTACATTTATTAAAATTTTAAAGAAATATCAGCAATAAACATAACCTCTAACAACATTCTACCTCCACCAACAAGATACCTAAGTCCATTTCACGTAATTCTTGGAAAACCGCGCAAAAACGAACAATTTACTATGTTGACTTCACAATTTGCAACTTGCGCATTGTGAAATAATGTTAACACAGTATGTAAGAAATATAGGTATCATTGTTGTGTTTTTGGTATTTGTATTTTATAAGTTTGTGCTCCTCATTACCAGGTCATAACATCAATTTATATAAGTTATGATGTTTTACTTAAAAATTATATAGAAAAATACAGTTACAATATTTATTACACCGAATGCCATATATTATAATATACAATAGCATCTTAATGTCGCTGTGTTTCGTTTGGTGAGTGTAGAGAACCAGAGACCTTTGTACTTGATACAAGGCATTCCATCGTAGTACTCAAGGGTGACAATGCATCTGATTTTCGATTCTGATTCGAATATAGAAATGTAGGTGTCTGGTGTCACAACATTTACTTACCAGAATCATCATCACTTACCACATCATGTAGACTGTGTGCTCGTTTGATCCCTTATTATTAAAAAAACAATAATTTTATTCATTTATATCATAGTTTTCTTTTAGCAATAGGTGACTATTGTAGGTAGTCACGATATCAATCAAATCTTGTCGAATAAAAATAAATTACGAATCATATTGCGTTTTATTATAAATTATTTTAAACTCACAGCGTTAAAGTAATTAAAAGCTAATGCTGAACCAGGGTAAACTTTAGACACCTAACCCCCTTGACATGAGTGTGCAAAGCATTAGAAACGTTGGGAATTAAAAATAAGCTAAACTTAAAGAATATGAATATCATTGTGTTATATATTTTTTTATCTTTTTAAATTTATAAATATTTTTAAATCGTAATCTCCACACTAGGACTTTTTCCTGTATCGTGGCAGTTTACAAACATAAATTTCACAAGGACAAACATCCAGATCCGGAACAATTATTTGTAGGCCATAAAAATACTTGTTCCGTGCGGGATTCAAACCCACGGCCCTTAGCGCTGCAAATCATTTCTAAGCCACTGCGCCACAGAGCCGTTTATTCACGTATATATAATAATACAAGACTTATTTTACGTACAACAACAATAAATGTAGATATCTGTGAGCCACGGCATCCACTTACCATCATGTTCGTTTGTCACTATTATGATCTATAAAAAAAATACGCTGGTATTCTGTGAGAGCATAGTTCTTCCCCGGTTGAGCCGACCTATTAGCGTCACAACAATAAAATAGCTGCAGTGTGACTCTACCACGTATACTGTGTATGTTAAATGTAGTATATCTGCCAGTAGTGTAGTGTAGTTGCGCGACCCATTACTCCATATCAACCCGTGGGCTTGCAAGAGGCGACAGAGGGAAATAAATCCCGAGATGGGCAGCAGCCAACTCGTCTGCCTAGCCTGGCAAATGTGGCAAAAATCCCCACTTATGTAGCAATCTTTGGGGAGGCCAATATTAAGCAGTAGACGTTTTATAAGCTGTAATGAATGTATGATATAAATAAATATTCTATATTAAAAAAGCTAATCTTTATACGTCACATAGCTTCAATATACCGTGGATACTTTCCTAGCGGTTGTTTTGTTATACATAAATAATATAACAGGAAACTTAAAGAAAGAAGTAATTAAATAATGATTAATTTAAAAAATAATATGTACCAATTAATCTAAAAAATAATAATTGATGGCTTATAGATGCCCCATTGCTGGGCAAAGGCCTCATATCGTTTGTGAGGGTTTGAGAGCTAGGAAGAGTTTTACATGGTGACCAAAAACGAGTTGAGTTTTACAATTGCACGAATTTTTTTTTACAGAATAAGGGTGACAAGCGAGCACACAGCCCACCTGATGGTAAGTGGTTGCTGTGGCACATAGATATCTACATCTATCCTCGTATGCAAATCAAAAAGCAGATGCTTTTTCAGCCGTAAGGACTAAGATTGAATGCCTCTTTTCCAGTAAAATGGGTCTACGGTTCTCTACACTCACCATACGAAACACATCAGCATTAAGCCGCTATTTTAAGCTGGTTTTCTGTGAGAGCGTGGTCCTTCCCCGGTCGAGCCGACCCATTCGTGCTACTACTATACAATTAATATACCTGCAGCATGGCTCTACCACGTAAAAATAATATTTAAATTTTTCAATCATGCAGGTTTATTAACAATTTTTTCTTTACATTCAAACAAGCGGTAAATCAGCATCTGCAACTGCAATTAGCAATTTTAATGCTCTTGACGGGAATCGAACTCGAACTGCTAGCTTACTATGAAATTTAATGCGAGCACTCATCAACTGAGCTACGGCTGAATGATGTTTAAAACATTCACTATTTTAAATAGGCTTACTTAATAGCATATATACGTTCTTACAAACGAAATTAAAGAAAATTTCAGAGTAAGAGAAAATATCTATATATGTCAGATGTTAATATCCGGTACTAGGCGGCGGAGGGAAGCAGCGCCAATCCGTTTGTCAAGTATGGCAGCTACCGCGAAATCACCCTACGATAGGCAAAACCTAAATCTGTGGTCGAAGACATCTTCTGACTTTTTGGCATCTTACAACTGATAAGGAGGAGGGTTGTACACAATTACACAGACAAAAATATTAAGCAAGTTTAACATCAGTTTCACCTTGACTTCATCATCCTCATCATCATCATCATCATCATCATAATTAGAGCCCTTCACAAGTCCATTGCTGAACATAGGCCTCTAGATTGAGTGACCAGGTCGTCCCCCATTAGATGGAGTGACGACCTGGTAAGACATGCAGAAAGTCGATGGATGCAGGTGGCTCAGGACCGTGCTTTGTGGCATTCCTTTGGGGAGGCCTATGCTCACGTTGTCTTACCTAAATTTAATCAACATCATCTGTAATACGTTTCGCATGTTGCAAAGTGACTTGAAAAAACTTTTTGTCCTAATTATCCATACTTTATCTACCTTAACCTTAAAATGTAGACATGTCGAAAACACACGTAAACGATAAAAAAATCTGCAAGACATAAGTCACTGGTTAATCCAGTAACGCGTAAGTTAATATACTTGCGTCGTTACCAAACCTTGCAAAAGCGTGGTTTTGCAAGAGACGCTCCAACTCCATGCCTCGCTCAGTTAAGAGTTTCCTTGCAGTTCAGTTAAACGTGTTTTTGGTTCATTTCGAGTATATTTGGTAAGTGTTGATTTTACCTCCCTTGCTGATAACATTTTTTTTATACTGTTAATAACAAAAACGCTGTGTTTTTAAATATTTCTTAGAAAGGACTTATTAGTAATTCTCAATAAATATTTGTTGTATTTAAAAAAAAGTGTGTGTATATTTAAAAAAAAATACATAAAAATATCGATATTTTTATTTATGGTGATTAAAGTCAAAGAATATTTATTCATACTTATACGCTTTTAACTTTTGTCGTTAATTATACGCTCTAAATATATTTCTATATGTTTGGAAGTTTTTCGTAGTTTTCAAAAGAACTAAGTTTTATTTTACAAATTATTTTATGGTTTTATTGTAGGGCGACACTCGTTCATATTTTTGCTATTATTTTATTATTGTACTAAAAATTGTTACACGGACAGACGACACCATCGGAAATGTCACATACTTAACAAACAAACTTAGTTCCAAGGTTAAGGAAGTCTCATTACGGCTATGAATTGTTATTCTATTATTCTTTAAGCAGTTCGTGATGAGTGTATAAAGTAATTGTTTCATTTGCTTGATATTTTAAGATATGACTGTCGCGTTGGTCTAATAGTTGTAAACGCGATTGCTAATAATTTGATCTCGGGCTTAAATTTCGGGGTCGGGCCAATATCAATTATTTGGATTTATCTGTCAAGAAAACCTCAGTAGCAGCCCAAAGTCAGGAAATTGACGGTGTTTCACGAAAACACTTCTGTTTGTCCTACGACTGATCACTCTTCCATCGTGTTGAATTGCAGATCCAACGGATTATGATAGTGAGGAAATAGAGAGTGCACCAGTGCTAGAAGAGCACGCACTCGTGTACATAGGCATGATGTCCTGCGCATATACTCGTATAGGAATGGTATAGTTGTCAGAACAGGGTGTCCTGCGATAATGACTAGTCTTGGTTGAGAGTGGCCGCCATGACCAAAATCTGGTCTAGAGAACGCTATATTATTTAGCTTCTTAGGTTTCATACCTGTTATGTGATGTTATATTGTGATGAAATCAGTGTTAGTGTTTTGTTATTAAGTCTATATTTATTAAAAATAAAATTACAAGGTTCGATAATGTACGTTGTGACGGTCTCTGAGGGATATCGTCAGGAGACTCAAATTTAATTGTGATGATGGTGTTAATTATAATTTTTTATTTTTTGTTTACGCAACATTTTTAATACATAATCATAATTAAAGTCCGAATATTTTATTCAAAATCGGTTTTCTATCGAGCCGTTATTGTTATGAAACGCTATAATAAAATTAAAAAGTTAGAATACAAAAAAGAAGAACCAGCAAGTAAGTTTCTTATTTCACACTGTCTGTCTATCTGTGTGTTTTACAGTATCACAACTATTAAAGTTTTTGACTGTGACGCGCGAAGCCAGAGCGGGTCGCTAGTAATGAATGTAATAAATGTTATATTACGTCCTTTAGACCCATTTCGGTCACGACCGTCAATTTCAACGTAGACTAGCTATCAGCGTAGAACAGGATTATAGTGCAAGCGTCTGTGCGCAAACACAGGTCTCGCACTCTATTCCCTCACTCTCATAATTCAATGGTACGGAAATCCGACACAGCATGTGAGAGAACAGGGTTAATCCTGCTCATAGAGCTCTTCGTGCTTTCTGAGGCACAGGGGTGCAACACCGCCAATTTCCTGACTCTACTGCTACTGAGAGTTTCGATATAAAACAACCCAATAAGTGATTTTGACCAGCCCCGGATTCGAATCTGGGACTACTTAATCAACAGTCGCTTTACGACCACTAGGCCAACCGGTCAGTTTCGGCGCAATATAATATATTACATACGACGTGGGTTAATAATATGGATATCAATAAGTCATTCAATATACTAAAATAAATATACATCTAGGACATCAAAAAAGGTGCTTATCATTGTCACGTTATTTATTTTATAACAGTGGTAGAGCTACGCGGCAGCTTTTGCTGTCGCACGGATGGGCCGGCCCGAACCGGGGTAGTACCACGACCTCACAGAAAACCAGCGTGAAGTAGAGGTTTACCTCTGCGTTTCGCTTGGTGAGTGCAGGTGGCCGGAGACCCTTTTTACTGGAAATGAGGTATTCCATCTTAGTCCTCACGGGTGACAACGCATCTACATTTTGATTTGTAACAGAGGATAGATGTAGATGTCTATGGGCCGCAGCAACCACTTACCATCAGGTGGACTGGATGCTCGTTTGTCACCCTTATCCTATAAAAAAAAAATTACACGGTCATCATAAGAGTATGGTTATTCGTACATAATTATACTTTTGTTTTATATAATCATTTGGGTAATTATTAGGTCATTAGATTAATAAATTCAACTAGTTATATTCTATGTTAGTGAGAATTATTTATGAGCCACATTAATATTTCCAACCGGCATTAAATTTCATAAGACAGAAATCAATTCCGGTATCGGTTTAATTTGCAATAAAAACGACCCACAAAAATTTCACATTGTATATGTGTAATATATACGAAGAATGACACATAGGAATGAGATCTCTTGTAGACCATACGTTGGTAGATTTTAAAAATGTACATACTAAATTTACTGATGATATCGTGTAGAATAATATTGAACAGAACTCACTTTTTTACACTTAATTTACACTGACAAGATACACACTCCTCCCACATACTTGATTTTCTCCTCAGTAGTCTTTGAAAATAATTTTGCTTTAATAATAACAGGCTGTTTTGGGAGCTTGCCTTTGCCTAATAGTTTGTAGTATCAAGCCTTGACAGTGTTAATATAAGGCACTTTTTCCTCAGAAACATTAGTTTGAGCCAAGTCTGCTCCGACACTAATGTCCATAGCTTGTCCAGAACTCTTTGCTCTGTCTCCAGTAGAAGTTTCTCATGCCCAGCTTGCTAAAGTGTCCAGGATGTTATTTGTCCATGTTAATGGTATGGTGATGTTCACCACCTGCGTTAAAGTGGCCACCAGCAAATATAAAAATTTAAGGAGTTGTTGTTGTTCAGGGGCTAAGCCGTTACCGTTACAGTCTAATAAAAGACTACTGCTGAACATAGGCCTTCCCCCTTGCCTCATAAATAATAAAAAATAAAAATGTTTTATTTTTCAGTCATCGTAGGCCCATAGTATGTTAGTAATAGAAATAAAACTTAAGAACTAATGTTAGTAAATAAAACAAGACAGAAATATACGAAAAATTGAGGGTTTTATCAAGCTCCATTTAGTAAATGTAGCTTGACAAACCTATCCAGTGTCGGGCCGTTCCGCCGCTCCGCAAAGACCCTCAAGACACTATTCGAGCTTTTCTTCAGTCTGTGCATTAATGATCCCACTTTTTAACGCATGATCGCAAAGTAATCGTCAGTATGCGCATCGGCGAACATGCCTGATGCACTACAATAAGGTGGAAGCCCCAACAGCAATTTTTATTGCAAGTTATATTGGATACGCAGGATATTTCCTGACCTTTGGGTATGCTTGGCCCAAAGGCTGCTGGTACAAAATGATTGGCAGAAAGCCTTGAACAGTGTAATTTTGTAATCTCATAGGGCGGATATTTGCCATAGTCCCCACGCTTTAGTTTTTTATTTTTAGTCGTTATTAGGAAGACGCTGCTGCCCACCTCCTGATTTGTTTCCCTCTGTCGCCTCTTACAACACCCACAGATACATGATATACTGTAGTGAATATTCTTACACCGCCACTACATGGTACAGGGGCTAAGCTCTCGTCATTAATTTCACAGTACGCAAGCAACCAGAGTTCGATATTCGCGGCCATCAATGAAATTGTTAACTACAATTTTAATAGTTGAGTTACCACTTGATCGCCGGTGAAGTAAATCATCGTCAATGTGTGAATATTAAAAATATTTTGAGTGGACCGTACATATATTAAAAGCTGTACCTAATTTGACTTATTTTTGAAAGTAAGGAGAATAAAATTCAAACTACCTTAAATTTTTTTGTCTGCACATTACTATATTACTGCAGCCCATACACACCTTACAAAAACTTCCCTTTAGCTTATTTAGAATAGTGGCGGAACGTTTGTACATTTGTTGGGTAATTGTGTATAAAAAGGTAAAAAAAAGTGTTTTCAATTTCATCGATATGTAGTTGATATTGTAACTTCCTAAACCTGTTCTCAATATTGTATTTTTTGCCTATTTATTAAATTAATAACTTAATAAATCACTAAATTGCAGGATTATATTTTTGGTATCTATGTTCATTATGCACACTTTAAAAAGCTTAATAAATCTAATATGACCCCCGTATCACGCACACATTTGTAAAAAATTGGGACATTTATAGCGCGTCTAGAAAGGCATCAAAGATAACGATTGAATCCGTTGCGTGTATGTCGTAAGCTAATGATTTAAAAATAAATATACCTGATAATCAAGTAGTACCTACTAATTTTAAGAAAATTATTATGTTTCGTCAATATCGCCTAAAAATTTATTTTCTTTACAGAATATTAGGAATTAAATGATCATTAAATTGGTGTTTTAATGATTTGTTAACTTTAATGTTATAGCATCACTTTACTTCATATTAAATTGTTGGTTCACTATAATATTAAAAGCATATATGAGTATGAGCCATCTAATATTGTTTATCGATTTTCCTTGCGAAGTCTACGCGTATTTTCTCACACATTTATTTTCATTGATCAATATAATTATTCTATATGTTAAAAGTTAAAGTTAAAGTTACAGTCTACATACGTTCCACTGCTGGGCACAGGGCTCCCCTCATTTCTGAGAGGGTTAAGGGCAAGGAAATGTCCACCACGGTGCCCCAATGCGTGCTGGCGAACTTCACATGTCTTAGATTTTTTTTCTTATTTCCCAGACATGCAGGTTTCCTCGCGATGTTTTCCTTCACCGCCGAGCATTTGGTAAATCAGCACTTAAAATTGCAATTAACAATTACATTGGTGCCGGCGGGGATTAAACCCGGGTTGCTCATGTACTGT